GGGAAAGAGGGAAGGAGAGAGGGGCCCCTGGCTGGTCTTCTCACTGGCCTCTGTCCCTAGCCTCAACCAGGGTCATGGGCATAAGTGCACACCTGGTGTGTGCGGTGAGGCAGACCCGGACTTCCCACGTGGCTTCAGCATCAGGGAGCGTTGCGTTACCACTGTGCTACCACATGGGCTGCTTCCAACCTCACCGTCGATCTTTGCACGTCTCCGTGTTGGTTTAAAGAGATTCTGACTTGTTTTAACTGCTCTGTAGTTAAGTGCGTCATCATTCTCATACATCACATGTCATTTTTCACTTCCCCAGCATTGTGGAGCATTTCAGGCTACTCCCATGTTCTTGTGAACATATGCTCGTAAACACTTGAGAAACTTCTGGGGCATAAGCCCCTCAGGTGCTTACCAGACAGAAAGCACCTCCCCAAGGGGCGTGGTCGTGCTGCAGTCCTTTTGCTTCCATTTCCCCTTCCCATTGGGATTTGGGCACATGTGCATATCAGGTGTGCTTTTCAAGCTCCTGAGGCTATTAATTCGAACTAGTCAGCCTTGTGGGGTGCGGCTCCCAGTGCACAGGTCTTTGAGCACTGCCTGCCTGCTTAGATTCCTTAATCTATTCATGGACTTCTGTAAGGAAGATAGCTTCCCCTAGCAAGACACTGAGCTCACCTTCTCAGTGACAGGGCAGAGACACTGCCTCGCTTTAGAGGCAACACAGCTGCAGGTAGACTGGGACCCAGGCAGATGGCCTTGGTCTTACCTGAGCTTGATGCTTCCTAGCCACGTGACCTTAGGGTGTCTCTGCCTCCATTTCTTCATCTGCAAAATGGTGGTGGTGAGAGCACCCACTCATGGGCGCTGCGTTGATTCAGTGAGTTGAAGCAGGAATTGCTCCGTCCCTGGCATCAGCTGTCATTTCTCCATCACCACTGTCTTCATCATCGTTACTATTGCTCCAGGCTGCTCTCCACAGCTGACTACGACTATACCCAAGGCTCCTGGTCACATTCCTGGGACTACTTTTGAGCCATTGCTCCTTTCCATGGTTCCTTTTATTACTGTTCCTTCCCCACCACACATACTCACCTACCCCACTTTGACCAGGTGGTTACACCTGTTGTCCCCTCCAGGCTCCGGATGGTGGAGACGCTGAGCAACTTGTTGCGGTCCGTGGTGGCCCTGTCACCCCTAGACCTCCTCCCTGTCCTCTACCTCAGTCTCAACCGCCTCGCACCACTCCAGCAAGGCCTGGAGCTCGGTGTGGGTGATGCTGTCCTCATCAAGGCAGTGGCTCAGGCCACAGGTAAGGGGACTTTGGGGGGACACTGATGGGGGTGGGGAGGTTCTAGGAGATGGTGGAGGAGTCAGGAAGGTCTGAGGGATGATGGAGAGGGCTCTGAAGGGTGAGGAGAGGAAGAGGCGAGAGGGACAGGGGAGAAGGGAAGCTGAGGGGGCAGCAGCCCACGAGGAAGGACCTGGCCTGTTGGGAGGGAGCTAAGGGGTTGGACCAGAGGGGCAGGGAAAGTACTGGAAGCAGAGACAGTAGGATGTGGGGGCTGAGATTGAGGGTTGGGCAGAGGAAGGTAGCAGAGGTCCTAAAGGGCTTTAACTGGCAGGGCCTGGGTGGGCCAAGGGGAACAGGAAAAAGCAGGATGTATGTGCAGGCCAATAGCCTGCAGGACCAGTGGCACAGTGCTGGGTAGAGGGGCTGGCAAAGTGGGCCAGTGCTTATCCATGAGAAACTCGGGGAACCGTGGGAGGATTGTGGGAGGTGAGGGACAGTGTCAGTGCTGGGTTCCTGTGGAGAACAGGGAGGAAACTAGTGTGAAGGGCTGGACTGGAGCAGGGCTTTAGGGACAGAGGAAAAGGTAGGAACAGGGAAGACGGGGTACAAGTGGGACCTGTCAGACTGTGGAGTCAAGGTGGATGAGGTGAGGCTGCCCTGGGCATGTTGCTGGGTGACTGGGGAAATGATGGAACCATTCCCAGCCCCCCAATATCGTCCCTCACTGGGAAGGGATGGGCACATGGCTGTGGGGTTTACCATTTCAGTGTAGGACCAGCCGTAAGCAGCCCATGTCTGCGAGCCCCCAGGGCTGCCCAAGGAATGGGTCAGAAGGTCTTGATCAGAGACTAAGACCAGGGAGTGGTTTGTTGAGGAGGGATGGTCAGGGGTCAAGGAGAGGTGTTCTGGGAAGATATTGGGAGTTTAAGAGTAGACCGGTGGGGAGCATCAGCATGAGAGAAGGAGGATAGTGGGATTCATGAGACAACAGTGACAGGAAGGTCAGTGGGTTAGGAATGAGTTGTGGGGTGATAGGGACCCTAGAGGAGGAGACTCGATGGTCACCCTTTCACTCGAGATATCTTTGCTGGACTTTGATATCAAACCAGACCCAGGCAGACTGTGCCTGTCAGGAGTGCTCAGCCACAAGGATAGAAAACCCAGTAACACTGGCTTGTTAAAGGATTTGGGGCCAGCAGGCAGTATGATGGTTAAGGCCTGGACTTCCACATGACCAACTCCTTGGTTCACGTCCCAGACCTAGTGACTTGAAAATCGTGCTGGACATGTGTGCCCAAAATCCCTGGAGGAGAATGGAGGAGAAGGGACTGTGGCTTGCATCCCTCCTGGGGTGATTTCTCACTTTCCCTCCCTTTGTTTCTCTAGTGAGCACAAGTCCTGTGGCAAAAACAAATCTTAGAAAAGCAAACAAACCCAACAGATTTCATTTTCTCCCATAAGAAGTTGCTAATGTTGCTTTCCCTTCACTGCTATGGCCTTTTCTGCCCTCATCTATGTCCTTCATTCTCAGCGTGTTCATGCTTAGCATGTTGTTCTTCCTTAGCATGTTGGTTGTCATGTACTCACGTGTCTCCTCGTGCCCCTGCCTGGTTGTCAGGGCCCCAGATTTGTTGGGGATTGCTCACCGTTTGGAAAAATCACGTCACTCTCGGCATTGTGGGTCGCCACATTGCACATGTGGCAGACGATCACTCTGGCAGCTGCTCCATCCAAGGCAGTCCCTCTGTAGGCCTGAGGCCAGACTGTTCGTTACGTGTTCTTGCCTCTTAGAGGTAGACTGACATGCTTGCCATCTCATTAATAGTTGCCCTCCCTGTTTCTTCCCTGTGTGGGGGTTAGGGCCTTTTCTTGCAGCCATGTGTTGGCTGGTTATATCATCTCTGCAGCTCATTTCAGAATAAAAGCAGATGACATAATAGCAGCTGTGCTGGTGGGTTGAACCACAGTCCAAGTTATCACAGTGGCTTGAGTCTGCATCCTCCCAGCCTCCTGCTCTCACTAGCACTGCCTGGGCTATGTTTGAAGGGTGACTTCCCAAAGAAGTTCTTTTCATAAAGAGTAACCAAGACACACGCAAGCGAAGGGGCAACTGGTCATTCAGAGATTGCTAATGGCTGCTTAGCAGAAAGGTCCCCTTGACCTCCTCTGCTCAATCTAGTCACTGCTGTGGTGATCTCCTACCCTGTAGCTCCAAATCTCATCTGCCCACAACGACATTGATCTTTCAGCCTCCTCTTTGCCTCCCTTCACACAAATGACTGAGAGCTTCTTAGCTTAATGTAACAGGAGATGGCCACACAATGGCCATTTCAACGAAGCTGGTGAGCCTTGGGAATAGGGAGTCCAGGGACTTAACCACCAGCCTACACGGCCAGAAAAAACATGCGTGGGCTACCAGAGATGGGAGACACATGGCCACAGTGGTCACCTTCACCACCTCTACCCCACTTTCTCCTCCCCCAGGTCGCCAGCTGGAGTCCGTCCGAGCCGAGGTGGCCGAGAAGGGTGACTTGGGGCTGGTGGCTGAGAACAGCCGCAGCACTCAGAGACTCATGCTGCCTCCACCACCGCTCACCACCTCTGGGGTCCTTGCCAAATTCCGTGACATTGCCCGGCTCTCCGGTGGCACTGTGAGTGGGACAGGTGACCCGTCCAGCACCCTAGACTGTCTGTTCTTGGTCTTGGGGACATAAGGCCCTACATGTGGCCAAAAGGCTTCTGTTTAGACTTTGGGGCTGAGTCTACAGTTCTGCTTGTGGGGTGTAGAAAGAACTTTCTTCCCTGTCCCCTGCACTCGGTAGTCCATGTACACAGCCATTCTCGTGGTCTCTCCTAGCTGCAAGGCAGGCTGGGATGCAGTCCCAGGTAGGGGAGCAAAAGTATGGAAGTTGGGAAGTGGGGAATGGAGTGGGGGTTGGCAGGGAGGAGGCTGGCTTTCCCATTACCAGCAAGCGCTGACTGCACCTCTCCCACCTCTTCCAGTCTATGGCCAGAAAGGTGGACATCATCAAAGGCCTCTTTGTTGCCTGCCGCCACTCAGAAGCCCGATTCATTGCCAGGTGAGTGTGTAGGCCATGATGTTAGAGAGGGGGTACTCCAGACCAGGAGGTCTATTAGATGGGGACTGGTAGCTGGAGTGACCACAACGCCCTTGGATGAGAAAAGGAGAGCCACAGACCCAGGACCAGAGGGAACACAGGTTTCACAGACTGACTCCTCTCCCGTGGTAGCAGTGCCTGGAGAAGGTTCCGGGCTTTCAGGTAAATGGTGCTGTGATTGATTAGTGATGCTTGCCTTGGCCTGTGAAATGGGGCAGGCAACACGCAGCAGCCACGTTTGCTGTGGATCAGCAGGATCACTGATAGCTCACATCGTGGGGGCATTTCTGGGGTGCCCTGCCCTGTGCCAGGTACTTCATCCCATCAGCCCTCCTAGCAGCTCCCAGTTTACAGAACAGGGAATGGAGGCACCAGGAGGTTAAACCGTTTGCCTGTGGTCACTGGCTGAAAGCAAAGCTTGTTCAGGGTCAGATTTTGACTATCACTTCCCACGGCTGGCCACATTCCAATTCCAGGACCAGCTCTGCCCCTGACTCACTTCTCTGAGCCTCATCATCCTCCCATTGCAGTTGAGACATGAGGCGAAGGTGCCCACCCCCCAGTAAACGCCAGTGGTCACAGACCCAGTTTCCTCATGTTAATTGACGCTGTGTGATCGCGGGTCCTTCCCGGGCTCCGAAAGTAGTTCTGGTTTTTGGAGAGAGTGTCTTCCACGGGTAGCGTGGGGAAACGGGAGGCCACAGGAGCAGGTGGGGGCGGGCCAGACTGGAGAGTACGCACCAGCCCGCTCCCCGACTTCTCTCTCCCCAGGTCCCTGAGTGGACGACTTCGCCTTGGACTGGCAGAGCAGTCAGTGCTGGCTGCCCTCGCTCAGGCTGTGAGCCTCACACCCCCAGGCCAAGGTGAGCCCCTCTGCCCAACTCTGTGCCCACTGGGTTGGACAAGCTCCCTCCTCCTCTTCAGAAGGTCCCCGTCCCAGGTGGTCCCTACCACCCTGGGCTCCTGCCCCTTGGAGGTTGTCTTGGGCTACCATACTTCCTAGCTCCACAGCAAACACCACCGTGGACCCTTGGGTGGCTGAGGGTCAGGCAAATCCCAAAGCCTCTGGTGGTTTCATCTTAGAATTTCCTCCTGCTGTGGTGGATGCTGGGAAGGGCAAGACAGCAGAGGCCAGAAAGACGTGGCTGGAGAAGCAAGGCATGATCTTGAAGCAGACATTCTGGTGAGCCCTGGGGGCTGTGGCAACGTGCCAGCAGTCCACGGGGGACAGTGGTGGGAGGGACTGGAGAGTAGTAGGTTGAGCTAGGCTGGTGGCCAGAATATGAAGGGGCCACCGGGGAAGTGGCAGGGGCCTTGAGTGACCTGTATTGGTGACCACATGGGACTGGTGATAGAGCAAGGGGTGGTGGTCCAGACAAGATTGGTGCATAGTGTGGTGCCACCAAGGACAGGCCCCCACGCAGGGAGAGGCAAGGAGGGACACTGTGAGTGAGTGAGGGCGGTAGGCATCGACAGGTTTCAGGGTTCCAAGCGGGGCATGCACACGGGAAGGCTGTCGGAAACCCAGAGAGGTGCTGGTGCATAGAGAGGGACTCATGCATAGTGCAGTGCAGTGGCCACGACATCCATGGAGCAGTGGCCTGGCCTGGGCTCCAAAGAGAGCCGTGTGGAGGCACCTTGACCAGCCGCCCACCAGGGGCTGGTGACAAGGCTATGACTGCTGCAGAGAGGGGCCAATGGGCAGTTCCACCAGTGCCTCCAGAGCACCAGGCTGGGTCTGCGCTGACGATGGAGAGAGAACAAGCCCTCTCAGGGCACCTGGCCAGAGCAGTGGCTAAGCTCAGCCTGCACATGGGACTCTGCTAACTGCCAACCCCAGGCGCTGCCCCAGACCGTGAAGTTAGTCTTTGCAGATAGAACCTGACCTTGAGGAACCTGGTGTTTCTTTAATGCATCCTTGAGTTCTCAGGGATAGCCAAGAGGATCACTGTTTTTGTGCTGATAAGTAGGCCGTGAGGCCAGACCAAGGAAGACAGTGGCACCAAGTGATAGATCGTGACACAGGGGACACAGGGACAGGGCGAGGAGAAATCAGGGACATGTGAGAGACAGCAGAAGGGGTCAGGAGCTCAGGTTCCTGGGCACAGGCCGAGGTGCCTTTCCTGAGAGTGGCTTGCAGCAGAGGACAGAATTCCCAGGCTGGGAGAGATCTGGAGAGAAACCCTCACATCTTGTTCTCACCCATGTCCCAGCGAGGTGCCTGACCTGGACCGAATTGTCCCCGTGCTGCTGGAGCATGGCCTGGAGCGTCTCCCGGAGCACTGCAGGCTGAGCCCAGGTACCAGCCCCCCATGGGCCCTCGAGAGTCTGGCTGCAGCCCCACCCTCTCCAGAGTTGTATCAGGGCGCCCGCTGATAAGCACGCCTTAAGAACCTGCGGGACCCTCTCCTCTCCCACTAAGACTGAATCTTGTTCCCTGGTGCTGAAACCCATTCCTTTGTCCTTGGAGTTTTCCCATTTACTTCAGGTAAAGCTGCTGTACTGATGATACACCACAGGGCAGGGGGCTGGGCCGGGTGGGATTTGTTTCTCTTACACGGAACTGTCCAGACTAAGGCAGATGGCCGGGGGGGTATACACCTGTGCTTCAGGGATCACCCAGAGACCCAGGTTCCCTCTCTTGACCCTCTGCCATCCCAAGGTAGTCGCCCTGATGTGTGTGATCAGAGGAGATTCCCAGCCCTGTTCGGATTGCAGAGGAAGGGAAAG